TAGGATATTAGTTGTGTTGTTGCCGTAGTATTAGGTGCGAGATTGCCCAGGAGCTTCCTCCCAAAGTCTCGGTGGTGAAACTCGACACCATTTCGCTTAAAAAACACGGATTGTCGTTGGGAATAAATCTGTTACTGTAATCATGCTGACTGCATTATGGACAAAAATAATAACTTATAAGACAGGGACAATAATATTATGAGCAAAACGCTTCGAGTAGGCCTACTTTTTGATATACACTTAAGGCGAAAAAAACATGTTTAGCGTCCTGCCTTTTTGAAAAAAAAAAGGCAGCAGGAGGCCCTTTTCCCCTCCTCCATAAGGGTGCAGGGAACTAATTCAAGTGAGAATTTTTACGCGAGCTCATTAGCATAGTAAGTCCCACCCCACAATTTCTTTTGAAAACGGTGACCGTTTGGCTTTAAAAACGTGGAATTGTGTAAACATGGCCAAGGATCAACTCCCTGGTTTGGGGGGCTTCTGTCTGAGGGCAGACTTGATAAATTACGGTTGAAAAATGGGTCCTATTTGCCTGAGAAAGTGGAAGGATGCCACTTGTAAAATGGCTACATGAAGGCTTTAGGAACTATCACTTTTCGGGAGGTGAAAATTGAAAAGAAATAAAAAGATGAAGGACAAGACAATAATTTAATTTTTATTTGAGAAACGCCAGTGATGTTGGCTTGCATGTTATTTGGCCCTGAACTTTGTTAATTTGACACTGTTTTCAATAGGGCTTGAATTGGTTCAGTGCACCCATAATGACCGCCTGACCGGGCTATTTTTCAAGATGGCTGTCAGTTTTTTCTAAATGGCCGCCATTGGACTCAGGAAATGACATAACAGCTTTATATGGGCTAGATCCAACAGATAAAGAGGCCAAAATTATGTCACTGTTGAAATTGTTTCGGTAAAAAAAAGAAGAAAAAAAAAAAGGAAAAAAAGGAGGCGGCCTCCAAAAAGGAAGCGTGCGGGGACGTTCGATCTAAAAACAAGATACTCTAATGACTTTGGCGCCTTTTCAGATTAAAAAAAATCCTTAATTCATAAAGTAATAATACAACGCACGTTAACGTTAACCAGCCATCTCCCAGACGACCATGCCTGGTTATGTTGACTCGGATATGTTGTCTTGGCTAAAAACGAGTGTTTTTTTTTCACGCATATACTGAATGCTGTCGAATGCTGGACCATTATGCTGAATGCTGGATCGCGTGTGCTGCACCATCTGATTGCACGCTTGGTTGGACAACCTTTTTAATTCAAAACTAGAAATGATGTGGATTTCGCAATTCAGCTGCCGCGCTCGAGAAATGCCAATGCATGGTGAGAAAAGAAACCCAACGAAACCCAAATGGCAGGACCAAGTTTGGAATGAAGTTTTGCCTGAAGCACTTTCAAAATCCAGGATTATAAAAGCCAAATCAAGGAGCAAGTTTTAGGAGAAGAATCATTCAAATCACTCATGTACTTGGCAAGTCACGGAATTTTGAACGCAAACACCGTTTTAAAGTTCTGTTCACGGATCACAAAAAAGGTAAGTGTTCTTTCAGCAAAACGAAAACAATTCACATGCATCCTTACGAGAATTGTTTTCGGTTTGCTGAAAGAACACTTAATTTTTTTTTGAGATCCGTGAACAGAACTTTAAAATGGTGTTTGTGTTCAAAATTCCGTAACTTGAACAGTACATTTGTGATTCGAATGATTCTTGTACTAGAAGAAAGCTGCATGACTGGGCTTTCGTATGCTAGATTTTGAAAGTGATTCAGGCAAAACTTCATTCAAAAATTGGTCCTGCCATTTTGGGTTTCTTTTTTTGACTCACCTAATAGGGGTTGTTTTACTTGAAAACCAATGCTGTTGAAGGCAATTTCTCAAGAAAAAAATTGCGCCAATGGGAAAATGAAACATCCTACTGATTCATGGAAAAAAGTAGCGTGGCGAGATATATTTATAGGATGGATTACTGGGAAAACATCTTGCTATCCGCCGACTATGAAAAATATCGGGGAAAAGCAGAGGTGAAGTGTGAACTGTTGCACCAGATTTTCATCCCTTCCGAAAATACTCCTTTATTCAGAAAATTCGCAGTAATTACTGGATTTTGACCGTACTGTTGAGTGACCCACATTTCAAAATTGAACTCAAAATATAATTATTCGTGTACCCGCATCTTTGAAGAGAAAGTGAAATTGAAAACGATAAGTGTAATTAAATACGGACAAAAAAATGCACTAGAAGCATATTTCCATTAGCGTTTTTGGCTCAACAGTTGTAGATATTTTTTAACGACCGTTGTGAAACCTATTTTTTTTGATCGGCATTGTGTATCGTTCCGACCAACACCGTCAGGCGCCACATCCCATTCCGTACACATCTTGTTTAATTAACAAAAAGTCATCAAGACAGCGCGGCCATGTGTCAGCGTGTGTTTCCATGACAACGGACGCACCAATGCTTGACCGGTTAAATGGTGCGTGAAGAAGTCACTGGTGGGGATAGTAGTTTTTATGCTAATGCTGTGCAATTTTTTTTGTCGCGGGGGATGTCAGTTTGTCGTACTGATGCTCTCACCGAAAAAAAAATGAAGCTCTATCACATGACTTAAATATAAATTCAAGTCACGTGATATCTTTCTGTCTGGGTCGTACAGCCACAAACACACATGTTTATGGCGTTCGAGGCACAAACTCGGTCTGTACCTCTGTCCGCCTTAACTGTGTGCAACGCTGTTCTAAGTGCACAGTCGATGCTTAGTCCAGTCGTAAGTGCTGTCCGGTGCACTGTGTCTGCCTACATATCTTTGCACACGTACAACTTGTCCGCCTTTTCCCATCAAATCCAGGTGGATCTAACTATCAGGAAACGAAGGGCGGGGTTGATATGAAGGGGGGAGGCGATGGCACGCCCTGCTAGGAGAGTCCGAGGGCATGCCGGTCGGACAATTGTGATCTCTACGATGCTTTCATTCGGCATCCTGTATTCTTAGGCCACATGAGAATACATTTAGGAACTTTAGCATTTCGTTTCTTCGTTGGGCCCCAATTTAGTCAACGGACGGGGGTGGGGGGGGGGGGGGTGTTTGCAACCCAAACCCCTGCTCCTAGATTCACCAATGAAACCACATTTCCTAACCAATAGAGCTTCTTTTGTTTCACAGTTCAAGCAACAGGCAAGATTGTCATGGGTATCGATATAGAACTATGAAATAATTCTATATCGATATTCTAGGGGGGGGGGGGGGCAAGACAGGTCTTCCCATTTATATTTTTAACGGGAGATGCTAATGGTGATATCACTTCCCCAAATAAGTGACTCCAGTGCATAGAAATGTTAACATAATTTACGTAATCTACACTTCATTTTCCCTAAAATTTACCAACAATTATCACCTTTTTAAGTGTCTGCGGAATAGTATCTGCGGAAAATGGGCGTTATACACGGAGCATCAGAGCCATATATGACATGCTTGTTTGAACAGCGCACCTAGAGTAAGATTGGGTTCTCCCCCTCAGGTCACGGAACCAGACTAACCGACTGTTTAATCAAAGGTAGATCTTAGACTGGTGCCGCCACCCACTAAAATATGGGGCTGGTAGCTAGTTCCCATTTAAAGCCGTTGATAGGATCACATTTGCGCGTGCGCAGAATTATTATAGGCAACTCTCAAGCATTTCAACTGCACGGATTTCAAATGAAAAGTAGTGCTCTTCTCTTCATTGATAGTTGCCGTAGACACTTTCGAATTCAGTGAAAATAGAAGCTCATCACCACTCAAACTGCACATTAGTGGTAAACTTTGTGTGGCCTAGTGGTTAGGGTTCGTGACTCATGATCAGAGAGTCAGGGGTTCAAATCCAGCTGCTGGTTGTATGTATTGTGAATTGGGCAAGCCACCTCACCCAACTTGCCTCTCTCCACCAAGGAGTATAAATGGGTACAGGCATCAGCTGGGGAGTAACCTGCGATGGGCTGACATCCCATCCATTTCCGTCGTTTCATGCAACTGAAACCGGAGATAAACGCCGGCCTGATGGGCCACATTGGCTCGTGACAGCCTTTGCTTTTACTTACTTGTTGGCATTTTGCAATAGGTTGGTTCTGCGCTGAAATTACCGTTGCGATTTTGTATTCAGGGCTAGGCTAGTCCTGCATAAAATTTGCATAAATTAGGAGGAAAACCTCCTAATTTATTCGGGAAGCATTGCTATAACTACCTGTCCCTACATTCCAAGTCTGAAGGACAATGGAGGGACCGGGAACCAGTCTATGTACATCTGAACTCCAGTGAAAAGTTTGTGTTATTTCTGGCTAACTTCTACGAACAGCAAAAACCTAATATAATTTACGCACTAATCAATTTATTTCGTGTCCTTGCCCAAAGTCTAAGATTAAGTTTCCCGAAATTGCCCGTCCCCCTAAGAGGAATCCTTGAGCGATCCGTAATCACGCTTGCTGCTTGGTCATTATGCATTAAGCACAAACAGCATTGTGTCAGTCCGGATGTGAAGTTTGCCTGAGGGATAGAATACACGCGAGTTCTGATGAAAACGCAGCCTTCCTTTTAGGGCAATTTAATCAGATCATTCCTGCAATTCTCCTTGAAATTTTAATTTTTTTATTCGTTTTGCAAGATGCGAAAGTCGGTTTTTACGTTTGAATAAGGGGCAATGTAAAATCAACAAATTTTGATTTATCACATAATAAATAAAAGAAAAAATCATAATAACACTTGCTCTAACTCGAAAGTTCGTTTTGTCGTTAAGAAATTCATTTATATAACCTCACGAGCCGATTTAAAACTGTCACAGTTTCTTCAACAAAAAACATGTCCCTTTTTAATTTTTTCACAATCGTCGCAAAATACGCTCTGAAAGTCAATTTCTCTGAATGACAAGCATTTTCACCATTAAGTCAAATTCCTTAAAGCAACAAGGAATCTAAAGATGATGGTTTGCTATGTTGAATTATACCGATACTTTTTTTTCTATTTTCAGATCACCATGACGATTGAGCTAATTACCAGAGTCGACAACTACAGCTCGACACTAAGCCTTATCACGGTCCGCCTCATGATGGCGCACTCCATCCTTTACCCGATGGTCTACGCCACACTCTGCGGTAACTACCGGCAGGCCTACAAGTGGGCGCTCAGTCTGCCATTCCATCCGTGCGGGCTAGAGTGGCACGAACGCCCTCCATTGGGTATCTCAGGTAAGACCTTAAAAGCTCGCTCAATTCGTAGATTTTTTTTCGCTGGTTCCCTCCGCCCTATATCCAAGGAGCTGCCAGCTGCTGGAGACAGCTAACCCCTTTCACAGGAACTTCTGAAGGAAAAGCAGACACTGGTGGGTTACTTTGTGATTTGCGGGAATTTTGTGCGCATGGGTCATGCGCACACAATTCAGAGGTGCTAAACCCTGGTCACTGGATGTACAAAATGTATCTGAGCGCTCCCATGATAATTAAAGTGTACAACCCAGTAAATAGGCCAAAAATCTGACCGCCGAGCTCATGAATAAAAGGTATACACTCAAATCATTCTATATAAGAGAGTTCTGAGAGCCATGGAACTGGGAAATTGAAGACATGGCAATGTACCTCTGATCCGGACTTGGGGCTTCCAATTCTGAGCATTTCGGATGCAATTGGGTCCGAAAGTGGCGCTATTTAGCTTTGTAGTGGAGAGATCCTTTTTCAAAATGGCTACTTTTCAAGTTTGGGAAACGTCATTCGTTTTAGGGGTGGACTTCTTTGGGTGAGAATTTTCTCGAAAAGTAAATCGTCAACCCACCAATAATTGAAAAGAAAAATTTAGATGACATGTTGATCATGTTGTTCTGTGCAGCCTGAACGCCTGTGAGACTTTTGAGTATTTTAAAAAGATTTTGAAGTATGGGGATTTATCACTAGTGTCTATGGGATTTTTATACTGGATGCACTCATAAGTCACCGGCGCCATTGTATAGGGCGAAGAGGACGAGCAAAAGGCCAATGACGCTCTGTCATGATTTCTTTAAGGAAACGCAAAGAATTGTGGGCAGCCTATGATACTGTGATGATGAATACCACTACACGCTCATTCAATGCGCATGCGTGTTAAAAACCACAAGCTTGAAAAATGTAAACTAAATTTGCGTTTATACTCGAATCAATTGCCCACCGAATCACTACCAATGAACTCATCTTGTAAAGGGCCATGTAATATAATTTTTAAGTGTAATCCTTAAAAATGCACAAGTGAGTCCTATTCAATTTTATTTTCAATGTTCATTTTGCCATTTCCAAGGGTATTTTGGTGCCTTTTTTTGGTTTTTATGCTGATGCAGATTTCCATGAGCAAAAGTGTGATATCATTCCAGGCAGAAACCTCGTTATTGCAGCTATTTCTGCTCCACAAGTTACCAGAATTTTGGATATATTGCTGTAGTAAATTTTCTGAATGTTATGATTCGTTGTTTCAAAATATGATAGTATGTCAGTGATCAAACCTTTATCGCAAATATTTTGAATGACAAAATATTTGGGTTCACAAGTTGAACACAAAAAACCGAAACTATAGAGTGTGTTCCTAAAATGACATCAAAGCAAGAGCGCCCTCAATTGTAAGGGAAAGGATGGCACAGTAATTGTTTAAAAAGGTGGACTTAAAAAAACAACGAACCGAGATGTCATATAGTTTTCGTACATTTTAAGAGGATGGAAAGTTGCACAAAATAAGTTCCCATGTAAAATTCATGTCATGCTCCCTTTTAATAAAAAAAAGTGCTTTGGGCTAACTTTGTCAATATTAAATGTTCAAAAAAGTTGTCCAAAGGGGCACATTAGTGCTGCTAATTTCAGATCCAGAATTTTTTCAAATCATCTGGGTACAGGAAATCAGGACTCGAGTAGTCGTAGCTTTCTAACCAGCAGTGGTCACTGACCAGATGTGTGGCGGCCGTTCTGTTAACTGGAGGTTTAGATGTTTTTCTCCACAAAAATTTACCAGTAATATCTGCCACAGGCGAGAAACTGAGCTTGATTGGAGACACGCGCGTTTGGCATACATATCCTTCACATCACCTAATCTCTTGGACGTTTTTGTCAAGGAAAAAAAAAGAAACAACATTTTGGACAGATCTGTACGTCTACCGGTAATTGATTCTGAAAGGTTCGAAGAATTTCTTATTTGTTTTTGGCTTGAGATCTCTCCCCCCTCAGGAAAAAAAGTGTGTAAAAAGACTCACGATGGATTATTGCAGGCTTAATCTGCTTAATTTTCGTATTTGATACTGAGTTACATAAAGGTGGCACACGAACTAAAAATAAGTAAATTCTTTTTTCTTCCTCACCGTTTTGTTTTCCAGTGAGTGAAATGCACCGCATCTCACACCAGATGGCATTGGAGGAATGGGAAAGCCCCGGCCTGAATCGACGGCTGTACAGCAAGCGACCCTACCTCAAACGGTCCACCACGGATAGCCTGAAGGACACCCCCAACGCCGAGGGTGACGCAGGTCGGGATAATCCTGCCTTCGAGGGAAACGAGATGACGAGCTCGGATCAGACAGCGGAACTTGATGGACACATCACGGTGGAGATCGTCCACGAGAGGGCGCCCGTCGAGGCTCCAGCAAACAACCCCACGCCTTCTGTGAGCGTGCATCGGGTCGCCCATGCCGACACCCCGCCTTTATCCCACAGACCGCGCAGGCGCGAGGACAAAAAGCAGGGCTCGTGCGCCCCAAGGCGGCCGCTTGAGAACCAGACATCGGACAGCGGCGTTGATGTCGATTCCATCCACCTGGACAGCGCCCCCAGCGGCAGCAACAGCCCGGCCGTCATTCGGTTGCAAACAGTCGAGTCTGAATCGTCGACCTCTGTGTCGGATGCAACGGAACATTTGACACGTGCAGATGACTCTCACTGCAATGAGACAAGTTTTATACAAACCAGCGGTCAAGAGGGCTCCAGCCTACCGCAGGGTCGGCCTCAAACGGGTACACCCGACGGTGTCTGTGGACACATCTACACGAGACTTCAATCCGTGGCAAAGGATCGCGTTACATCAGACCGCAATGCGCAACACATTAACACAGCTAACGCGAGAACAGAACATGATGACGCGAAAGCAGGGCAACGTGACGTCATAGTTCAAAATGACGACGCAATAGAAATTGATGACCTGACAGCAAAGAATGCAACTGTGAATACAGAAATGTTGGAGACCCTCTCCAAAGGCTACAGTATCAAGGAGACATTGCCGGGAAGGAATAGTGTGCTAAGAGTTGAGCCATGCTCGGCCGGGGACCAAAGTCCAGGTTTGGTTCGGATACACGTGGAGGTGGTGGAACTCAGACCAGATTCACCTCCCCTGGCTCACGACACGTGTACACTGCAGAGCAGCACCAAGCAGTGCCGCATCAAATCGGCCAATCAGAAACCCTCCCTCAAGTTCAGCATGCAGAAGAATCGATTTGTCCCCTGCACGTCGAGTTTCGAGGAGACGGAATCGTACTCGTTTGGTATCGACGGACAGGATGTGGAAATGTCGAAAGACATTGTGCCAACTCCACGGCTCAACTTACCCGACGCAGACGATAGCTCAAAATATCGTGAGCCGCCAGAGGGCGACATTGACAACGAGATCATGGCGACCAACGGTGACTTGGACGAAAACCAACTCAGCGATGAGCCACCTGCCAAAGGGTTCAAAAGTCGCCGCATGAGGGCCAGCCGTGCGCTCAGGGAGAGCGCCCGCTACGATGACGACATCGTTCGCTATAGTGAAATGATGATGCGAAAACAAAAGGCCGACAAAACGACGGGAAAACAGGAGACCCCGAAAACTGGGTCGATGGAGTCACTTTTAGTTCCAGATAGGTCACACATGATAGTAACGGACCACATTGACCTTTGAACTTTGGACTTTGAACTTTGTGTTATGACGTCAGTTATGAATACAGAATTTTGGTTCAAATCACTACTGTAAAAATAACTTTAATATTCTCAAATTTGTTGTTGGGTAAATTTTCTTTATCCTTAATTTACTTAAAGTGTTTATAATTATAAATAAGTACGTTTATAAAAAAGAAGAAACATTCCATTTTGATAACAGTTTTATATATACAGTTCACGCATATGTTATTTTATGTTTAGCTGTGTTTTGATGTTATTGTTGACGCAGATGTAGATGTTGATTTTGTTTGGGTATAATAGCGTCTCTCCAATCTGAATATGTATGGAAAACAATTGTCATACATGATCAATTATTAGATGTATATAAATCGAAATAAGTTCTAGTGATTTTGTGATGCAGACTGTGTCACAGAACTACCCCCTAAGAAAATGTGAAAGTTTCCTTGCCAGAGCGTTTATGTGGTATCCTTTTATGCCAACGTATTGTCTGTTGTGAAAAGTTTATTTTGGTCTCAATTTGAAATTCCCTCCCTGGCTTGTGGAGTCATGTAACCTTTTCGGTATTCGCAATGCATCTTGGGTAAGGATGACAAACAAACCAGGCAATTTGTGAACAAACCAATGTGACCGTGAACCAGTTAAAACTTTCATTTGATTCCTCCTCACTACATATCAAGAATTTAGTGATCATCTTTTCACACATTGTTGCATCGGTAATTTGAAATTTAATTTTAAGATTATTGCCCCGCACAAACAGGCTGCGGCTACGAAAATGTCATTAAAAAGAGTGTTTTATTAGTTCGTTTTGGTATTTTGGTAAATGATCTTTGTTCAGGAATTTTGCAAGTTCAGTTCATAGATTAGTTGCCTTTCAATTCAATTTTGATACTTTTACTGATGCTTGAAATAAATGACTGCGAAGCAGTTAATATTCACATCGGCTTTTATTTCAGTGGCTTGATGTTGGAAGTTTCATAAAAATGTTGGGGCATCAGACATTGTACAAATACTGCCTCCATTTTTTTTCTCATTTTCCACAAAGGACAATGGATAAGCTGACTTTGAAATGAAATGACCAAAAAATCCCCAAGTAAGCTTGATTACATTTATGAGAATGAATTACATATAATTTATACTATTATAAATTTCCGATGGGCAACATGTCAGAAATGACAGGAACCAACGATACCAGGGCCGCGTTTTGGCGCGGACCGTAAACATGTTTTTGGTTCAGGACCGTTTTGGCGCTTCGGTTACACTGTTTAATGACGTCTTAATTGTTCCGACCAAAAGATGAACCAAGAGTTACGATTGATTCACTTACGTTTCAAGACGGAAGCAAGTTTTAGCAGATGACGTTACTTTGTTGCCACAAACGTGATTTAAACAGTGGGTCTGTAGTCGGTTGGGTAAAGTTGAGACATGACAATTATTACTCTGTCTAGGGAAAACACTGGAAAAGCAACCGCCCGACTTTAGTAAATCGTGTAAAATTAACCAAAACATTCGTTACAAAGTGACGTCACGAACATATTTTTTGGTCGGGCGTTTTCGCGGTGCACTGGCAACATGTTTCACGTCATGGATGTGACGTCAGAAACATGTTCCCGCTCAAGGGCCGCCAAAACGCCGCCCAGATCTCTTACGTGAGGTTTGATGAAGAGGTGTATATAATAAGTTATATCTTTCCACATGCCTTGCCCTAAAATACGGGCTTATTTTATGTACTCGGCGTAGATGGGAGATTTTTGAGACGTTGATGGCAGCAAACACAACTGTCCGTTTCTATTGTTTGCGCCATTTTGAGCATGCGCACATTATCTTTTAACATGACGCAAACAATTGAAAAGGACCGGCGCGTTTACTGCCACCAATCGTCTCAAAAGTATCCCATTCTTACTAAGCATAGTAACGTGTCAAGCAAAACTCGGCCGAGAACCAGTCATTACCAATACGTACAATGTAAGTGAAAGTTTAGCTGGTATTCAATATTTCGCCCATTGTTTATTTTTGAATTATACTATTTAGCTTTGTGCATTTGAGCACACGGTTATCAAAAAACTGACCCTTCTCTTTACGCAAAATCGTCAGTGTTCTACAGGGTGTTTAAAAAAAAGGAAACCGAGCTTATTTTGTTAATTTCTCGGGTATGACTTATTATTTAGGAAAATGGTAACCACCATCTGTTACATAACCATGTCTTCATTTTCTTGACACCACGAACTCCATTTTACCGTCACGGATGACTGAGCACCAAGTGATGTAACTGATGACATACCAAAAATGGCCTTGTTCCACATGCACCATAAGACCAATCGACAGTTTTCAGCATGTTGAAAATAACCAAATCCAGGACGTACATTATCGCAGTCATGTATTCAATTGCTAAAACATATCAAGGTTTATCACTGTCCCCTTTATGCCCACTGTCCTTCAACATGCCCCCATTCCTTTCAATGCAAATCTCGGCCTTGGTTCTCATTGCTGCGAAGGCGCCCCTGATGATAACGTCTCTCTCTCTCTCTGATAAATGCATACATTAGGAGAGAAGCCTCCTTATGTATGCATGATTCACTGTGAATAGCTACCTGTCCCCATATTTGAAGTCTCGAAAATCCTTTATAAACAACAGGCACTCTGAATGCCGCAAGAGCCAAAACGCGAGGATAATGGTAAATGCGTGTTCTGCCACATGTGGTCCTTTTGATCAAGTCTGGGCCTAGAATTGGACTTGAATATTCTTTGAGGTGTTTGCAGTTTTACTGATTGTCGCAGGCCTATACAGTATGTACCCCAAAAAGTGTCCGTCTGACAGTTTTTTCTTAATTAACTACAAAACCATGAGGTCAATTTTGAAGAAGTTTGATAGTGCAGATACTCCTATAAGCTTTGGCCTCAACCCCTATGAGTGTCATTTATTTTCAGTCACGCATCACTGCACAATTGTCAATTGATCACAATAACATTTTTGGACACTGTGACCAAGTTCCATGCCTTAATCAATTCCAATGTTGTTTTATGTAAGCTGTGTAAAATCCTGCACGTTGTGAAAAAAAATCCTGATGTGGTTTCGGATTGCAATAATTTGCCCTTGAGCATTACACTGAGGTCTTGTCTCGATGGCTGATAGCCAGACAAAATGATTCCAATCCCAAATGCAGCCCTTTTCACAACATGAAGGATTTTACACAGCTTACAACACAGTACTGAAATCAAGTCAGCAATATTCCGAATGACCTTTGACCTGGACTACTCCATCGAGATACCGAACTGGCTTATTCTCTCCATTCTGCTTTACATAAACCGAAACTATTTTTACTATGCGAACACATTTTTAGTCTCCACATCCCAGAAAACAGCCATATCAAATCTTCGATACTGAAGTCTCACGGGCATTCTTTAAAACCGTCGCGAAGGTCGGCGTTGACGTCACTTATCAGACACATCATCTTTCGTACTTAATTGTGCCCTTTATCGGGATGCGTTGCTATGGGAACGAGTCATGCATTTTTCACGGGTGGGAAGTGATACGTGAAAGATTAGAATGGATCAAATTTCGTTGAGAGGTGTGGGCTTTGTATTTTATGCAAAGACCCGGACATCAATTTTATTTGAATCCCCCATATTTTAATCAATGCAAACTTTGCAATTTCTCCATTAAGGACGGTTCAATCACTGCTTTCAACATGAAGGTTGGTTGTCAGAGAATAGCAAGCGTGTCAGGACACATTTCTGCTTGGATATGACTCCCCGGTCAACTTTAATCGAACTGTACCCGCGTAGATGCAGCTACCCTGTACCGTGTTTACACTCATCGAATTTAACGAGCTCAGCCAAATGGACAAGAGGACAGGATGCACATGGCACATGACAACCTATACAAAAACCTCCATATTTTTTTTAAAATTGATCTAAAGCGAAATTTAGAACTTAAACTGTAATCTTTCCATCTTTGCATATATTTTACAACAAAAGCAACACACACTTTTTTTTATTTAGGTGGCAAGGTATTTATTTCATTGCAGGCGCATAAGTTTAATGCAATACAAAAAACAGATAATTAGGCCTACCCGAATTAACATATATCGGGTAACATTTTTCTCTACTAAATTTCAATATTATATAATAATGTCATGCGTCAATAGAAAGTGATTTTGTAATACTGTTATTTTCAAATTACTTAAAATAATAACCGATATCAATACAATTTGTTTTAAAATTAAAATATGACAAAAGATATAATTGAAAATGAACACAATGATCACGCACATTCCTCTGCTGTTGTTTACTGCAGATTAATGAATTTGTGTTCGATATAATTGCTGTAGATTTTCCCTTAGCCGAAACGTACGATGTTTAAAAGTTAACGATTGGTTTTCTTTTTGAGTTAATGACGTTTGAATTTGTGAGAAGATACCTATAGCGTTAAAGTGACATGGTGCCAAACTCGACTCCATGGGCGCGTGCGCGTTCCTTCACTACCGTTAAGATCGCGCAAGGCATGATGGGTACCAACATGGCGCAGCAAGATTGTACCAAGGAAACGAAGTTGACATGGTGCATACATGGGTGACATTCGCAGACATCACATACGTGATATCATTGCTGAACCAATCTCCTTCCAAATGACTGGGCAGCCAACCGTTTGCAATAGATCGTTACTGAAATCCAGCTTATTGTTTTAAAGATTGACGTTCGTTAGTAGAAAAGACATTTGCTGAAATGTACTACACGTGTCAACACATGCTGTTACTATCATTCTTTTGAAAAAGGCAGGGAAGGTCATGCTCGATTGACCCATCGCCATTTTATGTACGTTAAATTTTGTTTGTCTCAGATTGTGCGCGTTCCGCGTCAATTTGTGTCTCATGTCATTGTACAATATTTCACAAGCTGCGTTGACGCGATTCTTACTTGTGACATCGATCGCCATTACCATCACGCACGTTGCGCGTGATCTGGGCCGCCTACTACAGACTGATGATCACTTACTAGCGACCAAGAGACCGATGTATCAAGCCCCGCCCAGTGGTGCTTTGACCAATCACAGTCGTTGTTAATGTACGACATGCGTGCATGTGCGTATGGCGCGCGCAGCTGGAACATGTAGTGTGTCATTGGAGAGGCGCAGCACGTTTTGTTGCCCACGCGTGCATGAACACGAATTAACAGAAGGAGCGCTTGCTTTTAGATCTATGTATACCAAGAAAAGTGTATTTTAGTCAACAATTAACCTATCGCGGTAGCATTGCGTCAACGCAGCTTGTGAAATATTGTCCAATTACATGATATACAAATAGACGCGGAATCGCGCAAAATCTGAGACAAGCAAAACTTTAGTTACAAAATTCCATAGGGTTGTCTAATAAGGGGCGTGGCTAACTCGCAATAGGCGATAGGCCAATAGTGTCACGGTCTCTTACAAAATAAGCTGCAAATTAAATCAAGAGAATTATGATTAAATACCTAAAATTAACCGAATACAGATAATAGCTGTAATAATAAAATACCATCGACAAAATACCAATACATTGTGAAGTTTTTATACAAAATCACAACAGCAAAGGAGGCTTTATGAGTAGTCTGGCACCGATGACAATACAACAAAAGGCATCCGACTCTTTGGATATAGTAAGGGCATACGACAAAGAAGGCTGTTATAGTACTGGTGCCCAACACGTAGTCCTAAAAGATTTATTTTGAATTCAAAATTTTTAAACGGATACGAGAATAAAATCGAGTTCGAGGCACCAAACACTTAATGTTCAACACATTAAAAGTACCCTGTATTATAAAAGCACAACAGTTCACCTGGAGTTTGAGAACATTTTAAGATAAAAAGTCGCACAGTGAGACAAAAGGAGCTTAAACCTTTATCTCATAGAAACCATTTTATTAAATTCCCTTTGTGATTTCATTGCAAAAACAGGAGAAATTGAAAGTAAAAAAAAAACACTTTAAAAACAACTAGCTCATGCTTTTGTCTGTACCAGAAATGCACGTTGATTAAAATTTAGAGGTAATATACAACATTTGCTTTTGCTGTAATATTCAGAAATGAATGGATTTGGGGTTTAGTATTTTACAGCAAATATTGTTACAGCAAATATTGTTACACTGACCTGTTGAAAGTTTTGTGTTCATAGATGCTGGAAAAAAACACAAGAAACCTAAATGCTGTTCTTGTACTCTGGTTCCCTGACCCTACCTCACACGAAACGGAGCAACGATGGGCGGCCAACCATCGTAGGAAATTGAAATGCCACTTTTCTTGAAAATGACAGCACACTAGGTGCCATGATTTCACAGGATGCTTGATAATCACTATTCAGTATTAAAACATTTCATACTACTTTGATAGTTTTGTTTTGCAAATGTTGTATATTACCTTTAATTAAACATAAGACGGAGTCATGGGTTTTTGGGTCCTCTATCCGTCCTACATACACGGCCAGGGAATCAAACAATCGTAAGTATTTTTATGCAGGTGTTTACCTTTATAGTTACTATTTTCCAGTTTTTTTAACGGGAACAATAATAAGATGTAGCATATTAGACCGGGAAACGTTGTTCAAAAATTGAACTACATGCATGTCGACGACCGTGATCTGCTGATTTCATATTAATAGGCTCTGCCGTACAAACAGAAAAAGGCATTTGTCAACTCCGTTTCCCCATAGCTCTGTACTGTTAAGCACCTCAGGGATTGCGGACACAAAAGAAATCACCACAGTGGATCCCGCATCCAATTCCAAGTCCAAGGCTTGTTTGTTCAAGCTGAAATCCTGCATTTCCCGTGAGGGTATAGTTGTTGATTTATAGCTTGGAGTGTGCAGGGTACTCGAGTTGGATCAGTCTAAAAGTATTGTGACAACGATGATTACAATCAAACTGACCAACGTACAACCCCGTCCCCAGGGGTTACGCTATATTCAACCTCGTTTCCAACAGCCTCTGGAGGGGAAGCTTCCTGTATCCTGATTTGATACAGTAGTGGATTTATCCCGTGTACTTGTTTTCTTGGTCAACGTTTATTGCGTATTTTAACACAATTTTGTTGTGAGTTATTACATCCACTCAACCTTTTCACTAACAATCATTAATTTGTTCCCCCATTTCGCTTATATTTATATGAAATGTGAAATTAGATTGTAAACTATTCAATTTGGAAAATAATCCAGTGTTTTTGTAACTCATGTTACGACGAATTAATTTTGTTTTACCCCAGACAACGCATACAAAAGCAAACGCTGGTATAAAAGCAAGCGCAAGTGCACAGTTAGCTCTGGCCCGGTTTGGGAATGTTTCACTTCATATGCAAAATAGACGCGCATGCGCATCGACTGAAACAAAGCTAGTCTTCCGAAAACTTTCGGCAAGAGTGCATTTTAGACCACGTCATGGCATTTGGTCAATATTTAGTTAAATATTTTTGGTCAATTTTTTTGGACAGACAGACCGACCGACCGACCGACCGACCACTAAGTGACATGTAGAAGCTAATGCAAGAGCTTAAGAACGGATATGCAAACGATCCAATACCAGGGTGAAGAGGCAGGTAGTGGTGGGAGCGTACTGCTCAACACCAAGGGAACGACGTTGGACCAACATAGTATGCTTTTGGTATTGATCTCTATGGCCTGCATAACAATTCGGTAAAGTCATAAATAGGCAATCTCCCATGCAAAGTTTAAATTGATAGAAAACACACACAAATGTACTCGGTGCGTTTGCTTCTGCAACCGGGCATATTCTCCACAGAAAAACCAATTTTAGAATTTCCATTTTTAAAAGATCAGAAAGAATCGGCTCGACAAAAGAGAAAACTGGAGAAGGCATACATTTAGATTAAAATGGAAAAATGGGAAAGTAAATAAAAAGAAGAAAACATACAGAACTTGTTTTCGAAAACATATTGCACGGAGACGTAGGCAAGACTGGGCGAAAAGGCAATGAATTTTACAATGTAATCATCGAATATGTATTTTTGTTTTACGTTCAAAAGGGGGAAAACATGAAGGTGGCGCTGCAATGAGCTGTTTTCTCATAGAAGTAAAATGTATTTATTTTTAAAGCCCCGAGTGTAATCGTATAAATAGTTCAAGCATTTGACACACTAGCTTGTGCTATTTGAGCAAATATCAGCGCAGCTTTCTAGCCATACATAAACGCACACAATTCAGTAACATTTTAAACATCATGTTTACACTTTAGTAGTTGACGCACCGGTGTATTACTGTTTTTTTAAACTGACAGTAGTCGACAGATCGCTTTGATAATTTGTTGATTTTCATTTCATCACGACAGGAGAGATACTCACCTCGCGCGACACTTGTCGACTTTTTTAATGTTAAAAATATCTGTAAATGTCCTACAGTGGGAAAGACCGTATATAATTTCATATTTGTTTTTAGTCAAACATGAATATCTTAATGGGCTCACATATCTTGCGCACATTTTGACATCAACAGCCTGTAGAAATTTGGCGATCGCAAGATCGAGTAAACAGTATAGTAAAGCCTTTTTCATCACATCATTTCAAAAAGTTGGAGATTTCTGAACAATCGTGCAAAACGTAAGATGATTACAGAACAATACCTCACAAATATTTCGATAAAATCCGTCATTCTGCGTTGCGGAGTGAATGGGTTCCGCACGTCGCCAATAAAATTGTCCCAAAAGACGCCTCTTAAATGTTTATATTACCCTCATATTAGAATAATAATTATTTAAATCGTGATATATCTCGTACAAAAATGTCAGAACAAAAAGAAATTTAAATTGGTCAATTTTACGCATTTATAAAAAGTATGCTTAATCAAGAAAAATGCCTGGATGAATATTTGTTCATATCAATTTTGTTGCAAATCGCGATAAAGTGCATTATAAAAATATTTCAAGAGTTTCATTTTTAAAGGCTTAATGTTACAAGTATAAAACCTCCTGCGACGAGTCTGAGTTGATGGGCTCCAGCATGATTCGCTCCGACCGGGACCTCTTGTATTTCTCTCGCATGTCCTTTGCGGTGGATGCCCGGCCGGCGCCTGCTGAGTAGGCCCGGGGCCGCCCGGTGTGGTTCGCCCATGGGTCACTCTCCCCGCTAAGGTGACCGGTCAAACCTGTCTTGATAAGGTCCACTGCGTCTTTTTTTGTCATGCTTTCGGTTTCACCACTGTCCTTCGAATCTTGCGAGATCGGCGACGAGCCCTTTCCTGTGCCGTCATCAGGGCTCGCATGGTCTTGCGAGGTCTCGTGCATGGGCAGAGTCTCGCATTGCATGGTAGCTCCTTCGGTACTCGCAAGAGGCTCGTCATCCTGCGTGACTTCGTCTTCAGCGACGTCCACCCTCGCCTTGCAAGCGCAGGGTTGATCGTCCTCATCCGTGCAAGGAGCTTCTCGGTCGGGGTTGACCTGCTCGATGACAATCATGTCCATGTCATATTCCACCGAGGCGTCAATAGACGGAAAGGTAGACATTTTGGACACTACGCTGCTGGTGCGAGAGGAGATGTAACCACTGTACTCCGAGTTTGCACCATCTGTCGTGTCCGTATCACTTGACAGATTCTCAAAGGCAAAGCGGCCGGATGACTCCTCCCTCTCAATCGCTTTCTTCAGCCACTCCTCTTCCTGAGTCAGAGGATTGTCCTCAAGATCGATGCTGGTGCTCTTCTCAAAGCTTTTCCTGGAGTATCGCTTGTCCTTTGACTTCTTCTTGTGTTTCTTGCTGGACTTCGGGGTCTTGGTGGGCGTGAAAGAGCTTTGTTCGAAGGTATTGTCCGGAATGAGCTCCTCTGGGAGTTGATCCGTCGGCTTGCCATGCTCTGGAGCGAAACTGGTCTCCTGGACATCTTCTCCGTCCTCTTCCGGAATGTCGTAGAGCTCCCCCGAGCCGTGAAGACTCGACATTTCAGACAACATCCTTTCCCTGACGATATCAAATCGGTTCGATCGCAGGCTGGGACCCTCGCCTAGACCTTTCACCGGTGACAGCTTCACGCTATACGCGGTCTCTTCCTTTTCCTGTGGAACTGAGCTGCGACGTTTCTTCTTTGTCTTTCGAGTGCCTGTCGAGAGGGCAACATCGCAGCTCTTCGACCCAAGAAGACCACCGTTCCTCAGGCGCTTCTCCCTCGCCTCATCTTTCTCTCTCACCTCAACCGATTTCTGCTTTTTGCTAGAGCGCTTCGACCTCTCAGTGGTCTTTTTGGCCCCGTCTCCTTTGCCCCCGTCCGCTTTGGTGACATTCAATCCACCATTTTCTATCTCAACTTTTACCGTGTGCATGGTCTGTCCTGTGTCCTCGCCGTTCGATGGTTTGCCGGTTCGCGCCGCACCACCTTGTCCTGAATCCCTTGGCCTGAAGTTCCGTTCCAGTTTCCGGTGGTGGTTCCTGAGGCTGTCGGCCCTGTCTACGGACAGGAACTGAGGGTTCTCCTTTGGAAGGGCATCTTCGGAGTTTCCCTGAGGGTGGGCGTCCGGGTTGTTCCGTCGGCAAGCCTTCTGGGCCAGCCACAGGGCCCGTCTCTCTTTGGACGACAACGCCTTTTTTATGCTTTCGTCCTGGATGTAGGCCTCGTTGTCGAAGTCAATGGAGTCCTGGCAGAGAATTCCGGCCATCTCCAGACTTCGGATGTCCTGTTCCATAGAGGCCGTGATGCCGTATTCCAAGGCCTGCTCGTCGTCCATGTCAATGGAGAAGGACAAGTCGCCAAAATTGGAGGAGGCCGCTTTGCCCAGTTCGTCATCGGCGTCCGAGAAGTTGTCCAAGGAATCGATGGTCTCTTGCCGTTGAATACCGCCTGCAACAGTCAATCAAATTTGAATCAACCAAAGTTTTTCGAAGAAACACAGAGGAAAATTGAAGTGCTTCACTTTTAATAAATAATAAATTGAACAAAGAAATTTTCTATAGCGGGATTTAAATCTGTGACCTTGGGACACGGAACACCTGTGCCGACTATCCAGCCGCATCCTCTCCGAGTGCCCATCGATTGTTACTTTCCAGGCGTGTAGAATCGCTTGTATTGTGACTTTGGGCGTAATACCAAAAATATTAATGTACTGTAAACTGTGCATATTGTCACACGTATTGTATACATTCCCCTCAAGAACTTGTTACATTCCAAAAAAGCATGTTATACGACAAGGTGTGAGTATATTCGATCAAGTACTATCTAACTATGCTGCATGCCTACCTAGCGCCTGCGCATTAATCGCAAAGTGCAAACGGTCTCTATTCAAATTTACGTCATCCCGAAACCTGCCATTTTTGTCGCAGGAACCGTCGTTATTGATTGAACTTGCCCTATGTTCTTTATTCAATCTGTTGGTTTTGCCACTGGTTGCAAAGCTGAAATAATCATCTCCGTCGGTCGATATCGAAACAACCTATCCGTATTGAGCTCGACCCTTAACCCGATTCGGCGCGTGCCAAGTCTTCATTCAGACAGTCTCAAGATACAACATTTATCACATCTGTTTCCATTAAGTCGACCGTATCTTATAAACGTGCCAATTATCGCTGGAGCGGTGACTCTTTGCCTGGAGGCAAAGTCAGAAATGCGTCCGGCCAGAGAACAACAAAATACAAATTAATAAAATATTAACCAACATCTTGCGCTAAAACGGGGCCAGCAATCAACGGCCGACGATGGTGACCAAAGAATGTCAAGGGGACATCGCAGATGAATGACGGTGCACACGCGCGGTAACCTGGCAACCGGCGCACAGCTCGTGTAAGTGTACTTTATCCGATTTCATATTTTAATCGGTTGATTCTGGCTCGGTTACAAAAATTAGCAAGCGACGAGACAATCCACGTTTAATGAGATTGTTCATAACTGTCCAGTAGCGAGGAATTGTGTCTTCGGCAATCGCGTATCACCGGGACAACCATACGTACTCGTAAACAGACAAGTGGTCATCTTGCATTTCAATGACATTTTAGATGGGCTGATCAATTTGGACGATATAGAGATAACGGCTGTGAATTTATTGGGCACAAGTCTGTGGGGGTGAGGTAAAGCGCATGTTCAATCAGCAAATTGTTTCAGGCAATCAAAGGATGAGAGAAATGTATACTGCACAGATTAAGTCGGAGCATGAAAGGTATTGCGAAACGTGGCCCAGTCCGAATTTTCAATTCTTTTTGAAAAAAACCCCTTAAATTGCTTTCCAAAACGATTTCATCCTAGGAAAGCTTCAGTTGTAAGTGAGTTTCGCTCTCGACTGGTTTAGGCCTACTACATAATTGATGCAGTAAAAAGACCCAATTCCCTTTTATCGTATTCCCGACATTAAATGACGCAATTAAATAATCAATCGTCATGCAACTATATAAAACGTCAGCTAAAAAGCTAACAAGTCTAAATTGCTGTAGAGGAAATAAACTCTAAACAAATTTAGTATTCGACACAAATCCCAGCTGCCCAAAATTGATTTTAGTTTTGAAAACCCACAGCCCAAATAAAAGCTGTTGGTGACCTCTAATTTCTTTGAGATTTCACTGGACTGATTTTTGTTGAATAGGCAAACTCGCGGTCAACAGTTACGCCTACGCGTGCGCGCGACAAGCGCACGACATGCGAACGGAATGTACGTGCATTGAGGCCAGAGCGACGTACCAATGATCACTGCTTTACCCACAGTGCTTTGCGACGTCTGCTTTTCCGTGAACAAAATTTTGTGTAAGAGAATTGCGGTCACCAGTGGCCTTCACTGATCTCTATTATACTGACTGGATAGCGCTTCGGGCCGTGAGGGTGAAGTCACTGGACGCCATTTTGACACTCCCTTATATATTCAAAGTCACGAAATAAATCATATATTTGAACAAATATTAACATGAGTAAAACAACACTGTAGGAACAATCAATAAATAAAAACGTGTTCGATGATCCAAAATTGCTTCCTAAACTATCGTCATTCTGTGCTTTTTATATACGGATCCGTACGTTGTCGGGCTTTGAGGGAGTTTCAAAATGGCCGCCGCGTGTGTGCGAGGGCGTCACGGTCTTGTGTACGCGCATTGGTTGATGCGCTATCCAGTCAGTATAATAAAGATCAGTGGTGGCCTTTGATAGGGCCGTGGGTTAGGATACGAGCGAACGGGCGATCGACCATCAAGGAAATGCGAAGTTTATTGTACTGCACAAAAAAGTCTAATCGGGCATGTTTTCAGAAAAGTGGGGTTAGTATTCAAAATCGTGTCTAATGTATTGCTGAGTAGAATATTGGTCTTCCAAATGCTTTTAGTTGGTTTCATTAGAATGTTTTGTTCAAAGTTACAGCAATCACAATACGGGACTTAAAAAAACCCTTGGGCCACTTTTTATTTATCAAGTTTACAGATCGAAGCGGGTAAAATAAGTCACAAGTTACTCCTGAACAAAAGAAATAAATACTTTGTGTGTTTCTTCAACTGCGCTTTCTCACTTTCAAGGAAAGTGGCCCGAGACGATTTTCAACTTGAGTTCGATGAAGCATAGCGTTTGTTTCAATGCATCGATTCGAATGAAATAAACGTTGTTTGATAAATTGGTTATCTGACTTTAAGAGGTAATTTGAAAATATCCCAAACCCACATGCAATATACCTTTATTAATTGTTATTTTTGGTAGGACAGCCTGTATTCAGTTTCTGTAACATTTTCCAAGCAATTTCACTTGAAGGGGAGTGTCTTTAACGATAGACAGTTCAAGCCAGCATGATAAAAAACCTGGACTCCTTTCAAGCCTACTGTCTTACCGACTGTAGTGTCTTGGACACTGCTGTCCGCGCAGCCGCAGGCCTCGCCGAGACACATGCCAAGTTTCACGTAACTCCGCCTATATCTCTGGCAGATGACGCACAGTAGGACCGGATTGATCAGCGTGACACAGAGGGCGCTCCACACAACAGTGGCTGGCATCCATGCCATTTGGGAGTTGTTCTGCAGGGCCATTATGTTAATCACCTGTTATAAAATGAAGGACAGATCAAGACCATCAAGAAGAAAAAGTAAAGTTCCTCAAATATATCTCGTTTCATTATTATTACAATGGAAATCAAATTTGATCTTGACCTAACCAAACTTTTTAAAACTCCAGTCATAATTCACTCAAGCTACCTCTAAAGAATAGGTCTTTATACCAATAATGTGCACAGTAGAAAACAAGAACTACAACAGCAGCAGCAGAGCAGCAGCAGCAGAGCAGCAGCAGGGCAGCACAGCAGCAGCAGCAGAGCAGCAGAGCAGCAGCAGCAGAGCAGCAGCAGCAGAGCAGCAGCAGCAGAGCAGCAGCAGCAGAGCAGCAGCAGCAGAGCAGCAGCAGAGCATGCAGCAGCAGCAGAGCAGCAGAGCAGCAGAGCAGCAGGGCAGCAGAGCAGCAGGGCAGCAGAGCAGCAGAGCAGCAGCTGAGCAGCAGAGCAGCAGAGCAGCAGCAGTGCAGCAGCAGCAGCAGCACGGCAACAGAGTAGCAGAGCAGCAGAGCAGCAGAGCAGCAGAGCAGCAGCAGCAGCAGCAGCAGCAACAACAACAAAAGCAACGAACACCAACAGGAGAAAATACTAGAGATATTACTTCAGGGGATCCGATTACATTTTCAAACCATTTCATGGTTAATTGATCATCGGAAGTGGCGATGATTGACGCGGCCAATGTATAATCACTCTCGTGTAATTATTGGGCATGGCGTTTTAGGAAGCCATTAACTCTTAAAGAGCAGCACATTACGGCATTCAGTGATGTTCCGACATTTACTGAGGTTTTCGTCCTCAGCCAGTTTGTTAAACGTGCACTGTTGTTAAGAAACAAGAAAGCAGGTATTGAATCCTAAACCCAACAGGATCATTGGCATATTGGGCCGAAAATTCACCTAGCAAATTATTATCAAAAATCTAATTTTGGTTTATTTTTGGTACTTAACACCTAGTGAACTTATTCCGTCTGGCTTGCTGTCATTTAGAAGAGATCAAGAAATGTAGGTGATTTCCAACGATCAGTCCATTTGTTGGAAATAAAGAGTTATGCTGACAAAATCGTGTTTCGTGATCAAAAGGTTGTGCATGGTTTTCACTGTTTTCTCGAAAAGAGTAATACCGACTGAACTGAAAATTGAACAGGTAATAGGTTTTTGTCAGTCGTCTTTAGATTTTGAGTGGTGTTGTTTTGGAGACAAACAAAATGCATGAAAAGCACATGATCCCATTTATCTTTAATGGTGAAGCAATTTACCATTTTTTATTATCAATCCATGATATTTACGAAACTCATTTTCAAAGTTCGCATCCAAATTCGTTGTAAAATTAGCGGGGCTGATTCCCCTGTTCAAGTACGGCTTTTAGCGTAAAGTCAGTAAATAATCACGTGGAATGCCTGGGTTACCATTTGCACACACATTCATGCAACTGAGCTTGTTCTGCTTTCTTAGGCTTTGTTTCCATTTAACTTGAACGCTTACCAACACCAACGCATACAATTAAACACGTACGTGGCATCAGGTGCAGTGCTGGGTGTCACATTATCAAAAAGCTAATTAGAAAATAGCCCGAGCTGGCGACGTTAACTCAATGATGCATGATGTTGATTCATATAAAAAAATCGAATGAAAACCTATCTCTGTTTACCTCACAATCGAAAGAAAGTATGAATGGCATTGCAGACAATATTGCCTTCTACTCGTCGGAAAGATGACCTTTTTAAGTGACAGTGTTCACAATGATCCGATTCGCTGGTATCCACCACCATTTCAAAACGCGTTGTTGACCTTCTATTTGACCCGAAGTCAACACAGTTCCCCTCGCGTATGGGATACACGTGCACTGGATCATGGCAGTTAGCTACCCACAATGCTTTGCAGCGATTGTGTTTCCTTTAGAAACTTTTCTGAGAGTGGCGGTCACCAACAACCTCGTCTCCAGTGCTTACTTTATTTCCAACCTCGTTTCCAATAGTAAGCCCTGGATAGGACACTTTCTTCCTGTATCCTGATTCGATACCACAATTTCGCTAGTAACGGATTTATATCGTGTAGTTGGTGGTGTTATTTACAACGTGCATTGCGTTTTTTTCACGTTAATTGTAATTACGTCCACGCCTTCTCAAAAATACTCCTTTCCTTTCCAGTTTCCTCGTATTGATATGAAATGTGATACTGCATACTGGCGGGCCAGATTGTAACATTTTAACTTCCTCCCCCCACGAATTGATGCTATTTTTACCCCAGACACCGCATACGAAAACAATCACTAATGTAACGTACAGGCAGGCATCAGACTATTCCTCATTTGCATACGTGTTCAAAAATCTTGCGCATGCAAATGATCAAATGCCAGGGTGAGAGAGCAGGTAGTGGTGGGCGCGTACTGCTCGACATTGGGGACGAGGTTGGGTCAGCAATGCCCTTGAATATGATGTGGTGAGCACGACCGAGCAAGTCTGAACAAATCTCCAAATGTATCACACAAAAAAGACCTTTGAGCTGAGGTCAAATGATTTACATATTTACATGCGCATGCATTACAGCGCATCGCGAGGTTATGCGCATTGGAGAATTCGGCCAATCGGACAACGGGAAAGACAGAATAATCAGGCACATAGCAATAGACGAAGTTTGGGAATATGTGCTTACTCAGAAAATGAGATTATGTCTAGTCCTCTTAAACCCATTAATAAGCTCTAGTTTGGTTTTGGTGGTGGTCATTCTTTTCTTTTGGAGGGGGCCATTTTTAGAGGGAAAATTCAACCAGCAGTGCCGGAACGGATAACCATGCATAGAAAACAACAGAAAGTGAACAATTATTGTAAATCAAGCTATAGTTTACTGTGTGTTTTGTAGAGTTTGATCATTGAGTAACATCGTAAACGTAGTAGAGTTTGATCATTGAGTAACATCGTAAACGATGACGGACGAACATATCAACACTAACGATGCGCCATTTTCGAAGAAGGCAAAACCACTTGTGTTTGTGTTCAATCGTTTGCCTATTTATTTTTTATTATTCAATCGGATTGGTGGGACACGTATCTACCGATATTGGTTATTTTAACCAATCTGTTTTTATCTGATAATACATGCATACTGCTCGCATGACGCGAGCAATACAACGAGTGCGCCTTCTATACTAAAGAGACCATAGTAACAACACACTCATGACCTAACGTCACAAGTTGGTTATTTTCCCATTGAGAATATAACCTCAGTGACTTGGCATTATAATGCTACTGCTATGTATGCCCTCTCGCTGTCTGTCTGACGATTCAAGGTCATTCGACCCTGAGATCGAGTTCGTTACTTCTGTCGGCACTGCTAATATGCATACACCTGTATGGAACTGTAAGCACATATGCTAAGACTGTTGAATTATTTAACCCACGCTAATGGACATTGTGGGAAATACTGGTAGCGACTTATGAATAATAAAACATATCAGCAGAACACCATCCGCTAACTATAGTCTCCTCTTTTTTTATTTTTTATTTCAATGCAATTTGCACCTTTTTTTATCCAAAAATTTATAATTAGAAAGAAAATTACTCGTGCGGAAAACGTAGTCACTCACAATGACAGTAATTATTCAGCGACGGTGATTGCGAAGAGGCCACGTTGATAATAAACCGCACGCATTTCGCTGGTCATGACCTTTCATGTCCGCTTTACAAATGGCATGGGCATATGAAAGTATCTCTATCGAATAAACATGGCCCCGTGATCAAAACTTCTTACTATTGTCAGTCTTGTCCTGTTCGTCAACCTTAGTCTCTTGTATTATTTATGAGCCTCAAAGATTATATTGTACCTAATAAAATGGAGAAGTTATAGTAATGGCGCCAATACTTAATCATTCAAAACCAGTCGAACAAGGAACGATTGTGGGGAGTTGAGATCCTGCAAAGTCCTTGATCTCATTGGTGCACTTCGAGGGAGCGTGTAAACATTGAATACATATAGCTTCTAAATATAATTACCGGTACTTCTTATGGCTCGTGAGACACAGGGAAAACCACTTAGATTACATCAGAACATTACAATATAGACTCAGACTCTTCGTCAATCTCACTGAGGAGTTTTTAGAGTGTAGGCCCTATGTAGGATGACGAATTCCTCGCGAAGTCAACATGGTTATTCAGTTTAGGGAAATGGCGCCAATCTACGATCTGTTAATACGTTATGTCTGACTTGGTTGTAAATGTGCAACATGAACATGTACTATTCGACCGTCCAGTTTCTCTCTGCATCGATCATTCACGGTCTCACCAAATTCAATTGTCTTGACACGCAATTCAATTCAAGTTAGTCATTAAAACAAGTAAGTGACAGTAGCATGGCCGGGTACGGTTTTACCATTATAAGGGCTTTTGCAATGTCTGATATCGAATATATAAATAAATATTTCTATCCTACACACATTTCTGCATTATTATATGACAGATATCTTATAAACCAACACAACTATTTAAGGGAATAGTTTTTAAGCAAGGCAAAGCAACAGTACCTTTTTTGTATTGTATTATATCACCAGCATAATATAGCTGAAGAAATAGGTACACAAAATGCACATCCACAAAGATGGACGCTAATCATACTTTAAAAATTTAACTTAAATTATTAATTATTTATTTAAATTAGCAATGAAACCTATAGGCACTGTAGCTCGCAAGCCTGAAGAAACCTGTAGAGAGAAAACAATGAGGAAAAATTAAAGTTTTAGTGGTGGGAGGTTTTCCCAGAAGTATATTCTGGAAAAAAACCCACGGAATCGGACAGGGACTAAAAATCGAATCCACATATTGGCCCAGGCGGGATTCGAACCCGGGTCACAGCCGTGGAAGGTGAGGAAAGTACCTGTACACCAACCCGACTCCCATAATACAATGTTAATTCACTATATTATTATTTTTTTTCTCCTTCAGAAGGTTTCTCGGACTAAATTACCTACGTTCTTCAACGTCGATGGAACTGATTGACGAACAAA